TTTTTTTTTATGTGATAGGAGGCAAACGAGCAGACGGATCACCTGATGGTAAGTGATTACCGTCGCCCATAGACACCCGCAGACCCAGGGGCGTTACAGGTGCGTTGCCGGCCTTTAAGGTAAAGATACGCTCTCCTCTTGAAAGCTTGCAGGTCGTATCCGTCCGGAAACACCGCAGACGACAGTCCATTCCACAGTTTGGTTGTACGGGGCAGGAAGTTTCTAGAGAAACGTACTGTTGTGGACTGCCAACCATCTAAGTGATGGGGGTGGAAGTGCTGTCGGGTAGATCGGTGGCGAAAAGTGGCGGCAGGAATAAGTCCGGATAATTCTTCGGAGCACTCCCCGTGATACATGCGATAGAAGATGCACAGTGAGGATACATCTCTACGCAGCGCCAAGGGGTCAAGCCGATCCGAAATGTCCTGGCAGTCAACGATTCGAGCTGCTCTCCGTTCAATGCGGTCCAGAGGGAGAAGCTGGTACTGGGGCGCACCTGCCCAAAGATGAGAACAGTATTCCATATGAGGCCGAACCTGCGCCTTGTAAAGTTGCAGACGATGGGCTGGAGTGAAATACCGTCTCGATCTATTGAGCACACCAAGCTTCTTCGAGGCTAATTTAGCCTTACCCTCTAAATGACCACGGAACTGGACTTCGCTCGATATGTCGACACCAAGGATTCCGATATTGGCTGAGGCAGTTAGGGGAGTGCTCTCGAAACAGCGGGTTTGTCGTACAAACGGCAACTTTTTGGCGGTGAACGCGCAAACTTGTGTCTTTGTGTAGGGTTAAATTGGACTAAATTGCGTTGACCCCAGTCTGGGACTTCCTTCAAGGAGGTTTTAATTTCGGACACAACAGCATACGAGCCACCAATGATATGGAGTACGAAAATTACCTGGATGCGGGCAGCGCAGGACCCTGCATTGTGGAAAACCTTGGAGGAGGCCTTTGTCCAGCAGTGGACATCATTTGGCTGAAACGAACGAACGAACGAAGAAGATGCACTAGATATAATAAAAATAAATGGGATAGGGTTCTTCACAAAATTTTTGTCAGGCCTGTCTGGGTCATTAATTTTGTATGGGTCGTGGCGTGGTGACATGTCTCCTTTTATTTTTTATACTTAAAGGGGCGCTTGCTTTTTGTAGTACCTAATATTTAGAATAAAATTCTGCTCCTGATAAGTAAAAAGACGCATCTTACATTTTTTTAGTGCGAGTTAGCGCAGACTACAGATTTTGAGGAGTGCATTACCGCAGCAAAATTTTTATAAATGTTGTGCTTTAGAGAGTCGAGAGTATAGCAGATAATTAGTCCATCGTGAGCAGAAATTTGTCCACTAATAGCAAAATTCGTTCAAATTATAGTTTTAAAGTTATTAGGAAAAAACAGATTTTGCTGGGGTAATGTTTGAAACGTTACCCCAGCAAAATTTTCGGCGTTTACCCGTGGTCCCCCCAACATGTCCCCCTGGTGGGTCCACGGGTAATTTTTTTTACCCGTTGTCCCACCGTTCTGAACAGTTTTTGCCAGTGGGTCTACGGGTAATTTATTTTAACCATAGTCCCACCGCACAGTGGTAAACGTTGCATGTCACAAAAATCGATAAAATAAAATAGAAAGTCTATTCTTTTTTACATCAAGTTTAATTAAAAAATAATTGGAAATAAAATAAAATAAAATAAATTTTCTTCTTGGAATAAAATTGAAAGTAAAGGATGATGGGCACAAATGTATGGAAAGTGGTACCCGCTCCAATAGCCATAACCAATATATGTTTTTTCCTAATAACTTTAAAACTATAATTTGAACGAATTTTGCTATTAGTGGACAAACTTCTGCTCACGATGGACTAATTATCTGCTATACTCTCGACTCTCTAAGCACAACATTTATAAAAATTTTGCTGCGGTAATGCACTCTATTTTGAGTTGGCCGATAGTTAAGTCGGTTTGGGCCATAGATAAGAATAAGTACTACGTTTGGGCTCTCAGCCATAGATAAGATTAAGTACCTCAGCGCGCACCTACGTTGCATAGCGTAACCCCATAAGTCTCGCTAAGATAAAAACGATGTTTTTATTAAATACTAGCTTTCCGCCCGCGGCTTCGCCCGCGTGGATTTTTGTCTGTCACAGAAAAACTTTATCGCGCGCGTCCCTGTTTCAAAAACCGGGATAAAAACTATCCTATGTTCTTTCCCGGGACTCAAACTATCTCTATGCCAAATTTCATCAAAATCGGTTGCGAGGTTTAAGCGGGAAAGCGTAACAGACAGACAGACAGACAGAGTTACTTTCGCATTTATAATATTAGTTGGGNTATTAAATATAATCGATCCTCTCTCTCATTCCCACACAGTTATTGTGTTTTGCGTCAATTCTATCAATTCAAATACGGGTATATGCGCTCACCAGTTGGAGCCACTGTAGACAATGACTTGCGATTTCGGCTTATTATTTCGTTGACCACAATCTACACAAGCGCCCTTAGCGGCGAATTCATACGCGATAGCCCTCATTACGCGGTGTAATAAAACAGGGTGTGTGTGTATAGGATGATTTGGAGTGGCACCTGTAAAGCAGCCAGGCACGCTTACAACAATATTAAAAGCTAGGCAATAAAAGAAACAAATGTTTAATTTCTAAATGTTTTTAATTATCATAGAACAGTTTACATAGTAGTAGTAGTCAAACCAAAGAGTTTAGATGTAACAAAATGTTTGAATTGATTTTTGATTCGCGCAGGAAAAGTGGGTGGTATACAACGACTGGATGCCTATGATTCTAATTCAGAACCTTTCATGGCATGGCACTAGTCCTCACACATTCTCCTATCATACTTAAAATAGTGGTACATATTACACATTTTTGGATTTCTGATAATCAATATCAATTGTTTCCAGAACTTGAAAGTTTAAAATATGTACATAAATATCCTTTTATGCGGTGTAACAAAATTATTATATATGAATTAATACACTTTTCATTTAAATCTTGCATAATTCGCGCAAACATCATCCCTGTCAGTGATGCTCACAGACTAGCAGACACTCAAAAATATATTTAGAAATAATTATTGCTGTTAAATATCAAACTTCCCATTGTGTAATGTGTTTGTATGTATGAAAACGAGTAATAATTATCGTAAGAAATTAATTTATATCAACGTTATTTTGGTTGCAACAAGAAATAAAAACTTGACGATTCTTAAAATGCTTTTACTTTTTTAAAGAATGGCATAATTTGTGCCACTCTTTTTGAACACATTTGTTGAATATGCTCAAATCGAATCAAATTATTTAGGGCAAATTAATTCATCTCTTCCCCAATATTGTGGATATTATTTCATGGGATAAGTGTTGCAAGATGATATTTTACGTGTTGTTTTTAATTTTTAATTTGGGCCGGTATTCAACGTGTTATTTAGATAAACATTAAACAGAAAACAGTTTTTAATTACATATGTACAAATAACGCGACCCCGAGAATAGAAGGCAAGACTTTTTATTCATCACAGTTCGATTCTATTATACTTTAACATAAACTCAATTAATAATTTAGGGTAACATCAAAATGTAATAACTATACGTATCGGAAAATTATATTACAAGCTATGTAAAAATAAAAATATCTGTTATTGATTTTGAGGAGACTGGAATGTGATGAAGAAAAAGTAACTGTCACCAATATGGCGTCCTTCGACTCGATTACGTTGACGGAATCTTATACATTACACCAACTTTCACATTACGTTGACACATGCCTAAGTTTATAAAACATCTGCGATAATCACGCACGCATCAATACATCCATTCATAACCATTCACGCTACCTTCCATGCATCTTACAAAACAATAATAATTTATAAAATTCACAGTCCCTTGCACATGTGCATGCCTAAATTAACATACATCACCTTTCACACTAATCTTCTCTCAAATAATCACATTTACCTCATATAAGTAAAGATACCACAGCCACTGTCTGTATTTATAATACCAAAGAAGAAAAAAATGCTTTGACTTTTAAGATCATTATGGAAAGATTACGGTCAGGCATACATAAATAATTTCAATATTACTGCGCTAGGTGCATCAAATGCGGACCAATAGACACACTATTCTATAAAGAAAACAGGATTAACTTCCAGCAAAACTTATTTCCTTTTGATAAACAAAAAAATTATTAAATTTTTTGTCATCTAAAAAAATTGAGAGTATATTTGACCATTTAAAAAAATATAAATTCGACCTAACATTGTTTTGCTGAAAATTATTAAAAGCCCAATAAAGACCAAAATGTAATGCACCTAACGACTTATATGAATAACGACATGATATGACCTGCCAATATATTTTAATTTACCAGCAATATGTAGTTTGGAATAGAGTCACATCAGTGCTGTACCATGGTTCAAATCTGAAAAGAAAAAAAAACTCGTACAATCTTCCAAAAGGACTTGGTGGAACGACGATCCGGTGAAGGTCGCGGGAGGTGCCTAGATGAGAGCGGCACAAGACCGATCGTTGTGGAAATCCTCGGGGGAGGCCTTTGTCCAGCAGTAGACATCATTTAGCTGAAAGGAATGATCGAATCTTCCAAAAATGAGTTCTTGGTCGCCATTTGTTTTAATCGGCCGCCGCCAATAATAAAAAAAAGTGGCCCGTTATGCTACTTTTCAGTTTATCAGCTAGTAAGACATGATTTTAAGGGTCTGATTGCTGGCCCCTATTTCTGGAGACACAGCTGTAGAGGCCTAGGAAGCGCACCGCGATAAGCGGTTATCACGCCATTATCACAATTTTTATCGATTTTTCCCATATATTTTGACGTCGATTAAGTATATCACGCACGGCGCGCATCCTAGCCTGTCTGGAGACCTAAATAGTTACTGAATGTGATGTATTGGGCACACTTACCAGCTAGTGAGAGGCGCCTGCTGCTTGAGCTTGCGGATCTCCTTGGTGGCCCAGTTGGCGAGCGTCTTGGTGCGCGCGGTGCGCGAGCGGCGGGCGGCTTGCAGCAGGTCGAGAAGCGGCCGCGTCTCAAGCAGCGGCAACATCCGCACGCCGAACACCTGGTACGGTATTAGAAGGTTAAGTCTGTTGTTTTTGAAAGCATTATAACTTCACTGCTTGTACCCAGAGCCGTGAAAGATAATTTTAAAAAAAGTTCACTGGCTACTTTACGAAACTACGAAACGAACTATACGAAGTTTAGTAGTTAGCCGGGAGTGCGCTAGCACGGCAATACTATCTATACAGTATTCCAACTCGGCCATATTTTTGAAATAAATGTGAACAGCCGCGCGGTACGTCACCGCATGACAACATGCGATAGGGCTGCCCATCTGCAGACCCTATTTTCATTACATCTGCCTACTTAGAATTTCTACCTAGTTTTGTAAATGTATTTTGTGATTGTAATTTTTTATTTTATTTTGACAAACAAAATACTTTGAATGGAATAGGATAAAAATGCATGTTATTTTGTGATTAGTAGATTTAATTTAAAAAAAGATGTGTTACGATTTAGTAACAAAAATCTTATTTTGTGAGTGTAAATGTATGCGCCTCGACTAAGGCGTACAAAATGCTTGACTATTATACAGGGTGTTGGGTGGATGGGTTTGTGGGCGGACACTGGCCCATGTTAACATGTGCATGTAAATGGTATGGTGAAGTCAGTAAATTCATATCATCATTTTAATAATTTTAATTTTCATACAAATCTGATTTTATAAATTTTATTTTGTATGAAAATTGAAAAAATAATGATGTCATTGACTTCACCATACCATTCAACATGGGCCGGTGTCGGCTTATGGTCCCATTTACCTAACACCCTGTATAAATAGGTACTTGTAATTATTTTTATAAAAAAAAGCACTTACTGTTTAAAAAACAACACATCGTCCGTTTATTACTGTGGCACATTCGCGACACCTCCGACTTTTGCATGTCGAGCGCATACCGAGATTTGAATTTCGAAGGAAATCTCGCGTTTCGTCCGTTTATATGAAGTTACAATACTGTATGATAGTATTACCGTGGCGCTAGTCGGGATTCTCAGTAAAGTCCCGGTCCGTGAGCACGTAGAATTTTGTCCAATTGCGAAAAATTGTTCGCGACTGTGCGACTGGCACCCGCAGTAAGTGTGCGAGCGCGATAGCAACATAATTACGCGCGAGCGATAAGGATGGGTAGCTTGGAGTCATTGGACAAAATTCTACGTGCTCACAGACCAGACTATAGCAATTATGTAAGTAGCAAGTATTAAATTATCCATTTATTATCCCGAAGCAGTGGTACGGTTAATAAGGGGACGTATAAGTGCTTTTTAAAAGCCTTCTTGCAAAAATAAATGAGTTTACCGTGCACAGGTCGCCCGTGAGTCCCGCGATGACCGACATGTGCCCGTCCGTGCGCTCCGGGTCGGACGCCACCTGGATCATGAAGTTCACGATCGCGGGCACGTGCGGCTCCACCAGAGCCACGTCGGACCGGACCTGCAGATTACACGGTAGCCATTACTTAAGATAAGATAAGAAGCGTTTATTTGCCAGAATAGAGGTTATAAAGTTCTTACAAAAAATTTTAGTACAAGTATTCAACCTGCATACTTAAGATGCTCCTTCTCAGAACTTGCTAAATGTTTGTGGCTGGGAGGGAAAAAAGATACAATATCTCCTAAGAAGAGTAAAATTTAACGATTCACTGGAACTAATTTAACGGCATTAGTGATTTTAATATATATACATTTAGTAGGGNTCCCTACTAATTGTCAACTACACAATATTGTTCATCATTTTCTCTCATCAACTTTCCTAAAAGAACACGTTACAACTTTGATATTGATAAATGTCATCTTTAACGTCATACAGCTTCCTAACATAAGTAAAACTGGTTGCTTAATAGGAAACCCCAAATACTTGTAACTAAAAATGAGTAAGTTACCGAAATAAACTTTATTTATTTATTATACAAAATGTATTTGAGATCTGCATATTGACAGTTCAAATAAAAGCACGTCAATGGTCAATTCGCGTTCGCTTAACAAGCAATGCGATCGCCTTTGCACTGTTTCTTTGAGATTTTGAACACTCTTCTAGGAAGAGTATTTAGAAGATGAAGATAAACATTTTGTATAAAAGAAAAATACTATCTGAGTGTGATAAACTCCATTATAAACAGAACAAGTGAAATGGATTTCTTACCTCTCCATCAACACCCTTCAATCCTTGAATAATTCCAGTATATGCCTCCAGCACACTTTCCCTTAGTTCACCTAGATATTCTACCATGTCGTAGTCATTGCGATCGACTTGTGCGTTGCTGGCCTGCAAATTATTTGTAAAGTGATTATAACATGCAATAAATTGACTTTTGCTCAGTAGTCACAAATTACAATATCAATTTTACCTGCAGCAACATCTGCATGACGACATCAAAGTACTTGGCAAAATCAGGACCAATGCTGAGGGCTATATCGCCAAATACAGATAATATTTGTGGCTTAACAGAGCGATGGATTGAAGGGTCGCCAAGGTTTTCAAGCAACAAGTAAATAATTTCGTCGCAATAGGGCAGCACCTGAAAGAATTAAGAGTAAGTTGGAGTTTATTTACACCAGAAGGGCTAAGATGCGCGCCGTGACATACTTTATCGACGTCAAAATGTATGGGTAAAATCGATAAAATGGCGTGATAACCGCTTATCGCGGCGCACATCCTAGGCCTACAGGGGTGGCCAAGTTGATTAGACCATAAGATCTACTGTTTACTAACGAAACCTTGGGTAATCTACCACTTACATACTTCTTGAAATCTCAAATGAAACAGCATAGTTTAGTACACAATCATGTAGTATTTTTTGCCTTGCCACGATCGATTGGACTAATAGTCGCGATCGAACGGTTGGCCACCCTTGTTATACACCTTCAGACCAGACATTTAAAAAATAGATAATAACAAGGAAGTCCATTTGATTCTTACCTTACTTTTCAGTGCGCGACAAATATCACCGGTAACTCCGACAGCTGCAATGCAAACTTGATACTCTTGGTGGTTCTTGAGACCAACATACAGATATCTCTTAAATGCATCCATATATTTGAGGAACCCTTCTCCAAGTACTTCAACCAGAGTAGACACTGCCATAAGTGCGTCTTCTTGAACACCACCGGCCTTGCCAGCATTACCAGCAAACATGGTCAAGAGAGCAGTCATTATAGCATCAGATATCTGAGGTGCGTCTTCAGGCGTCACTTTACGAAGCACAGACTGTAAAGTTGCGCAAAGAAGACTCTGAAGATCATTGAACTGAGAACGATCTGCTTGGCTTGAGAGATGAGTTTCCATTTGCAAAACTTGTTGCAATCGCTCTAATATCACCATGGTGGTCTTTTGAACAGTCACATAGCAATCAGTTGGAGAATTTTTCACCATTTCCATAAGTGCCTCATAAGCAGCTGACCTCAAGTTATGTTGTGCTGCATCTTGACGATCAGTTGTTTCTAGAAGCCTTTGTACAATAAAGTCGAAGTAGGTGGACATGCAATATGTCTTAGGTTGATTCGAATCTGTCTGGTCTGCCGCTTCGTATGCTGCTTCAGCTAATCCAGTGAATGCCCAGCATACATTAGCAGCAACACGAGGTTCAGCTTTCAGACCATTTACAAGGCTTTCTAACAGCGGTTTTAAATATAACTCATTGATCGCTGCTTCAGGAACTATTTCACAAATTCTTCCAAAGGTCCATGCAGCTGTATCTCGAACAGCCACACTCGAGTCGTACATTGCATCTATCAAAGTTGGCATTGCATTTTCTACCAGTGGTTTAAGACTTGTTGCTTCCAAACCACCCAGAATAGATCCGAAAGCCATTAGAGCAGCTTCTCTGTATCGCCAGTTCTCATTTTTAATATTTGAGTTTATGAAAGGTAGGACATGTGGTACGATCTCATCCTCACAGCAGTTTGACAGTAGCATCAAGCACACTGATGCAGCTTTGGATGGATTCCACTCTAATTCATCATCAGAGTCATCTTGTTTGGTAAGCTTTTGCATGAGAACAGGTGCTAGGTATTGCAAGGCTCCTCTGGCATAGAACCTGGAAGTGCGGACTGGTGGTCGTCCTAAAAATAAAAACAAGTTATTAATTTTAGGTTATAAGTAATACAGTCCTAAACTTTATAATAATTTAGAAACACTAAGGTATAGTTACCGGCTTCAGCTGCTTCTGCTTCCTCAATGGAAAGGTCTATTTCTTCATCACTGACATTAGACCAAAATTCAATACCTTGTAGTGAAATTTCATCAATGTCTGATTTCATAGCTTCTAAGGTTATAGGGAAAAGGGCTTGTCCCATGTATGGTTCCATGTATTGATAGTAGAGAGACAGGATTTTAACCTAATGAAGAGATGAATACAATGATTATTATGAAATTTGATTTGGATGTGCCATTATGATTTTTAATTATAAGTAATGCAGACTTACTAAGCACTGAAGAGCTGCAACACTTATTCTCATGTCAGAAGATTGAGTTGCCTCACAAACAACCTCCATAATAAAATTCCTCTCATTTTCTTTATCAAAGTTAGCTTTTGTGAATTCCAGGGAGTTGAGGAGTGCCTGGGTGGCAGCCAAGCGAACGTGGCAACTTGGTTCAGATGATCTCATCCCATGAATTATAGCAGTGAGGATTGGATTGGATTGCTCAGTTAAGACTTCAGCATCAATTTCTTGGCAAATGTAACCTGGAATGATGAGAATAGACTCAATAGCAATATCTTAACAATGATAAACAAGTAACAGGTATAGAGAAATGTAACTCAATAAATAAATACCAATAGCTTCTAGTGTAGCTTCCTTTTTGAGTTCTGTTGACTGTGCATTGACTACATTTTCCACCAGCATGGGGATGAGGTCACCCCACTGCCCCACTGACAGCTCTGCAACAGCTACGTACGCTACACACTGAGCAGCCGAACTGGGTCTGCTATTTTCTGTTCCTATAGCATTCAAAATCTGAAAGAAACAATTAAATAAACATAATAAAAAAATTGTGTATTATTTAACTGGATTTCAGGCTGGAGTAGTGATGAAAGGCAGTTATTACATTATTTTTGATGTATAGTCGAATGTCCTCAGGAAGTGCAAGCCACCGTTGTTGGTACTGCTGTTTCATATTAGGGTCCTTAGAGGTAAGGTGGTTTTTAAGCTGAAGACCAGCGGCCATCCTGGCCACTTGGCTGTTGCCACCCTGGACGAGTACATCTGATAGTAACTTAATGAATGTTGTGAAATTGGTGGCCGCTGCCTGGTCCAAGTATTTTTCAGCTGCTTCCAGTTCATTTCGATCTGAAAATCAAATAAGCATTTTTTAATATGTATTGACCTAAACTACAAGGCAAAATATACATATTTTTTTGGACATAAGGGGTGGAAGTCTTAAATAAATAGTAATATAACCTTCAAATTGATAACTCAAGTTGATTGTAACAAATCACAACAATATAAAGACCATTATGCTAATGCAAATAATCATGATAAAAGAATAAACATATTGGTAGGTTCTTTTCGCTAGTTGTCCCCAAAACATGGTAAGCTAGAAATTTCTCTAAATGACAGTTATGCGTGTCGTGCTATTGTGTCGATATGAACAAGTAATAGTTTATCATTATTGTAAAATGTTGAATGCTTATAATGTGCAGATAAGTGAAAGATTACATGGTAAACGATGATTACTAATTTAGACCAATGACATGAAATGCGAGTCCATTGACAGTTTGAATGAAACGCCATGCTCAACGATAAATTACATGGAACTTGTTACTTACCTGGTGAAATAGTCTTCTCTAATATTTGTATAAGAGTTAACGTCGTCTCCGTATGCATCTTGCTCCCCTTTCTTTTTACAAACTCAGGCTAAAAGAGTAAAATGGTAACCGAAAAACTCAAGAAACCGGCACACGACGAAGGAACATTCACAAAATGTCAATGTTACCAGCATTAAATTCAAACTTGAAATAGATAACTGTCAATTTTAACAAAAAAAAATATTTTTGATATTTGGATACACCACACTTTAAGTTGCTGGCTTCCATTAGGGCGTTAATAAACTTTCAATTTGTATGAAGAATCGTCCGATACTAAATCAGTGTAATGTGCGCAGTGCCCACTTTCATCTACATGTCCTCATCATACGTGTCGCTAAAGAGTAATAAATTCTTGTACGTCATACTGATTAACAGCCCGTTTCAAGTACCGGCCGACAAAAAATTAGTGGTCTCTGTGCCTAGGCTTTTATTCTGAAAAGCAGTTATTTGTACTAAAACGAAAAAAATAATTGTATGCAAGGTTCAAATAATTTCGAAAGCTTGTATCGCGCATATTATTGAATTTATTCCTCTTTTGTTCTGTTTGCTTGTTTTTAAAAAAGTTTTTTTTTATTATTATTATTTTATTTTACACTTTTTAGTTATATCTCAATCTCTGGGCCCTGATCAACATTTAGCACCAAAGTGCTCAGGAAGACGAATCCAACGAACCCAAACTCAATAAGTTTCCGCCGCACTATGGATCGAAATTGCGATTTAAGGACATAATATGGACATTTTTTTCACAATTTCAATTTGAAAAAATTACCTATCTATAGGTTATAATACGTTATTCTGATGAATAAATGCTGCACAAGTTTTTCTCTAAAACCAAGTTATGAGGTTCGAGAGTTAGGAGGCAAAGCAAGATCTGTCAAGGCTTAAGTAGTCGAAATCGACCACTTTATGTTTCATTCCATACTTACAACAAAAATGGAAAATATTTTTTTCCAGCCAAACTATTGGTTTTAGAGAAAAACGTTTAATGACACATGTCTCCAGCGCGGTTTTTTTGCTCTACATACCTAATCAAAAAATGAACGTCAAGATTTAACATTATTTTGTTGAATATGTTATTAAAACTATTAGAAACCATATTATCATTGTTTCATGTGAATTTTAGTATTACATTTTTTATTTTACATTAATAAAATGACAAGCAAAGCAGGGCGAAGAACTAGCATAGAAACAACAGACAATTTTATGAAAAATCATAGCATGTGTGTGCCTGTACTGAAGCTGAACAATGGGAAATGATGAATTCCACTTTGATAAAATTTTGCATGCCATCTATACTGATCATCATAAAAATCGGCCCACCTACGTTTTACAGGAAAACTCGTTTCTACTGACACAATTAAACGATTAACATAAACGCGATATACCTACAATAAATGTGACTTGAAAAAAGACCTCACTTTGGGCTCACCTCTGGGATCAATTAGACCAATTTTTATGGTTAAAAAACCAAATAATGATCTCACGTGTCCTCTTTAACAGATGGATAGCGATTAATCCCAACTCAACAGTTTTATAGCCATAAACGTTGGCTCAAGCGTAACTACCTATTTTTTGAAGAAGTGACTCTGGATTCTTCTACAGACACATTTTTGGGGTAAAAACTTTTTCTTTAATGAAATGAAGTTTAGAACTAGGTTTTTAAATGGTGCCAATATTGGTGGGAAGTGGGGATGCATACGTTTGAAAGTGCTTGTCGCGGGAGGGTCGATTTTTGTGATGACCAGTGTATACTTAATATTATAAATGCGAAAGTAACTCTGTCTGTCTGTCTGTCTCTCTTTCACGCCTGCATAGAGATATTTTGAGTCCCGGGAAAGGACATAGGATAGTTTTTATCCCGGTTTTTGTAACAGGAACGCGCGTGATAAAGTTTTTCTGTGACAGACAAAATTCCACGCGAGCGAAGCCGCGGGCGGAAAGCTAGTTATGAATTAAGGGACATTATTTCCCACCACAAAGTCCACAAAACCCCCTCTCCCCTTTGTTAAGGGTGAATTGGGTAGGTTTGTAGATGACTGCCCCAATGGATATTTTCATTATGGTATTATAATTTTATTGCGTATCCGAACGTTGTGAGAACTTGTTTGACATGCATGCGGTTGTGCTAATTTGACATTGACGTTCATGTCTTTTCGTGTTGTGGTGGTATAGTTCGCGGACGTTGTGCCGATCTAAGTTTACCAAAATGGTAGTAATCCTTTTATAATAAAGTAATCGCATGGATAATTTAATTTCAAAACGTTTGGCTCGTGCCGGTAGGATGTAATCTGTATATACCAGGGAATATTTATGTGTAATAAGTGTGAATATCTTTGTTTCAGTCGTTGGTAATTCCGGACAAATTTCAGCATATCTTGCGTATTATGAATACCAATATCGATGGCAAACGTAAAGTTATGTTTGCCATGACTGCCATCAAGGGGGTTGGTCGCAGATACTCAAACATTGTATTGAAAAAAGCCGACATTGATCTGGACAAACGTGCTGGAGAATGCACCGAAGAAGAGGTACAGTGTGCAGTATTATTTGATTTTAAATTTGCTTATAAGTACAGACAACAGTATTTCAAACTATGTTGCACAGTTGCGTGCTATTTTTCTACCAAAATAGTCTGAAGTGCTGTTGACTGAACCTACTGCATCATGTTTATTAATTTTCGAGTAAAAATAATTCATGTTGATATAACAAACAAGAAACTACAGTAAGAACTAGATCTGGCCTTCGATTGGCCAAACTACATAATTAAATTCAAGTAGGTACCTGAATAATCAAAAGCTGGAAAGCCTCAATCTATCCTTGAAAATAAATTGGGTTTTAGGTTGTCTAATGTCTTCTCCTTTGTTGAAAGAATAGAATAGAAGACAACAAAACTCAATTCAGTTTCTATGTTTACAATTAAGTTATTTGTTTACTGATTGATAAAACGTAATAATTCTTTCTTTTTAGGTTGAAAAGATTATCACCATTATGTCCAACCCAAGACAGTACAAAATTCCAGACTGGTTCTTGAACAGGCAAAAGGACATTGTAGATGGCAAATACAGCCAGTTGACCTCCTCTAATTTGGACTCAAAGTTGCGTGAGGACTTGGAAAGGTTGAAGAAGATTCGTGCCCACAGAGGTATGAGGCACTACTGGGGCCTCCGCGTGCGTGGTCAGCACACTAAGACCACCGGCAGGAGGGGAAGAACTGTTGGTGTGTCTAAGAAGAAGTAATTTATATTAAATAAAAGATTCTTTGAATCCATTTTGATTTTTAATGGTTTTGAACCTTGATTACTCTCTGATTACCGTTCAAAAATGATTTATGATCTACATTGACTAATTACACTAACCAATTATTCTTTGCTAGTGTTCAATTCATTCATTTTCACTTTAGATCTGGTTGTGTAGCTTGATTTTTTGTATGTATTTTTACTTAGTTAACTTTAAATTTATTTAATTTAGATGTTAAGAGCTAAAGCAGGTTCATAAGATCATTGTATGGACTGCGAACAATACATACTCGGTCCATAGCTGCTGCTTTATAGGCATTATTAACTATAGCAATACCACAGACAGATAATATAATACTAGTCAATACTCTAATGACATTGCTATGCTGTCAGAATACTTGAATACACCTTCACTACAGAATACCTAAAGTACGGCCAACTAGCAGCGATACAAAAGGTCGATTCAACTGTCGAACTATCTATTCTGTCTCTTCCCAGCTTGTGTATTTGTCGTAATGTCTCGTTCTCCCGCCAAAATATAGTCAAACCCCTGCTATTCCAAATGACCATGACGGGTTTGTTTACATTTGGTATCGCTTCTCGTTGGTCGTACTTTAGAGCCCTAAGTTGTTTTAATATTTGATGTCTAGGTCTCTGGGAATTAATGTCAGTAAATGAATGGGTCAATAAACTTAACATTTACATGTTTCTGAGGGTTACATAGGGCATAACCCCTACAGGTGATACCCCTACAGATAAGTATGGTGGTAGTACTCATTACAAGTAGGCAAAAAGGTAAAGAAAATACACAACTAAAAAAAATAAACTTTATTATAATATTAGTCTATAAATGTTTACTTACATTTCTGAAAATAGCAAGATAAAAGATCAAACAGTATTGTAATCAATTACAAAATCTTAAACTAGGCCTACATGAAAGTGTGATGATAATTTATGAATGAAGTATGCCAATGTTCAATTTAACACTTGGGTCATTGAAACAAAGTGGAATGGAATTGCATTATTCATATTGTGCTATAATCACCATCATGTAAACACCAGCTAATAGAGCTAATATTTCTTTTATTGATTGAGATAATTTGCTAGAACTTTCTAACAATTCAGGGATAACAGAGACAGTTGCTATATAAATAAATCCTCCAGCTGTAAATGGTAATATAAGTGAAGAAACAAGTCCTTCACTTGAACCTTGAAGATAAATTGATATTACTGTCCCAGAAATTGCTCCAAAGGCTGTCAATAATTGTAGCAACATTGCTTTCTTCCGTGAACATCCTGATTGCACAAGTATAGCAAAATCTCCAATTTCATGTGGTATTTCATGTAATAAAATGGTTACAGTTGTAATGTATCCAATGCTATTTCCTGCAATAAATGATGCTCCAATAGCTAATCCATCTGTAAAGTTATGTGTGAAATCAGCCGCAAGATTGAGATAACCAGCAATTTTTATTTCATCCTTCTTATCTTTGGCCTTTTTTTTCTTATCATCACTTTTCTTCTTATCAGATCCATGAGAATGTCCATGGCCTCCATCAAAGAGACGTACAGTCTTCTCTACTACTAAGAATGTTATAATTCCACCAAGAACTCCAAGACCCACAGTAATATCATGGGGCCCATGGGGTTCATCATCATTCTGGTGGCTGTGTGTATGGCTGTGACTGTGTCCAGCAGTATCTTCAGTGGAGGTCAATGCATGGGGGATTAAATGAAGAAAAGCGTCACCAAGAAGACCACCAGAAGCAAACGATAATAGGATTTTAAGTAATGGTTGTTTTTCTACAGAACCATCAATGGGTATGAAGAATAATATAAAGAATGGGACAATGCTTATGAATATTGTAGAAGACAATGCTTTAAAGTACAAGTCGTAATCAC